TATAAAGTAGATTATTCAATATTATTATTTCTAACTTTATATTCAAATACACTATATTTTTCATTATTTGCCATCCAAGGGATTCATTATATTTAGAAAACTATAACTGAATTAGGGACTAGCTGCTCATTTTTTTTTACATCTGGCTAAAGAGCAGATCTTGAATTGGGGTATTTGTATTAAACATTGTAATTTTCCAAATGTTAATACTTTAGAAATGAAATTCAGAAAGAAGCTTTATTTATTGTTTGAAATAGATTCAACACTATAAGATTTTGAATTTTCAAGTGACCTCAATAGTATACTGGAATATTTGTTGATGATTAATTAATTAATTTCAGTACATTGACATTACAGATTAAAGTATCACTACCTATTGATAACTTCAATGATTAAAAACTTTAGAATACTTTAATTATATTTAAGAAATAGCCTTTATCAGATTACATTATATTATACAAATCAAAAAGTTGTTAATTTACTTTATTGTAAAATATTATATTAAAGAATATACGTAAAAAGTTTTTCTATATTTTAAACATACCTCTTTCACTCTGAATAAAAAAAATATTTTTTAAGTTTTCTAAGCCTTCAATAGATACATTGTAATTCTGTAAGCAATTGTTCATAATTATATAAATTTTATATATACAGCAGTTTTGCAAATTGTGCATGTTTGAAAGATCAAACTTTAAAATAACAGGATAGAAAAATCAGTATACATTTTCAAAATACCTTCATGATTCAAAATTACACATATAGCACAGTTACATTCTTTGGCTGTTAATGGTAATGTTTGCATAACACACATTATTTGTGTGATAGCAATCATTTAAAAATTTGTTGCAATGAACACCATGAAGAATAGTTAAATTTTTCATTTTTTCTCATAATGTATTTGCTTTGGAGAATATAAACACAGCCACTGAAGTATTGACAAAATGTTCCTTAATCATCTTTTATTTGTAATTCACTAAGATTTTTATTATAAACTAAACCTTTTAAACATTGAAATCTTGAACAAAAGTGAAATTAAGTCTAATGATTGTCTGTTTTCATCTGTTTGAATTAGCTCTTCATTTTCAACTATTTTCTTTTCTTCTTCATCTCAGATTATATCTTGTTTTCTTCTTCATCTCTGTTTTTTAGAACCTTTCAAGAATGAATCCTGTTTTGAAAAAATCCTTGTGTTTTGTTCATAATTTTAGCTTATCCAAACTGCTTTTATTTTATCCATGCTAAAAACATTTAGTGTGAATAAAATGTATTGAAACTATTTATCATCATATTCCATTATTCATGTCTATAATGTGTTAGTAAGTTAAATTCACTTGTGCATAATTACATTACATTACATTAAAAGAGTAGAGAGGTTGTCTGTATGTGCACAGACTTAATCTCTAAGAAATTAGAAGTGATGAAATTGAAGTTAGAAGAGGAAGTGATAGTAAGTAGGGAGGGAAAGATTGAAGGGAAGTGTCGGATTATTGAGCATCTGCATCATAATTGTTGAACAAGTAAAAATACAGTAGCAAGATAAAAAATGTTCAGTGAAACAGTATAAAAACAAACATAAGTTTGCGAGTTTGTACAGTAAAGGGGGGTACAGACACAATGTTTTAACAATTACAAAGTATGCAATTTGTGACTGCTTCATATACATAATTTATACAAATATCGACACTCGATAAAGGAGTGGAGTATTATTATATAAAGTTAGATATAGAACAAAACATGAATATTAGTTATTGATATGGCTAAGTCACATATTTACATGGCTAGTGCTGTAAATTGGGTTGACAGAGATAATACATTATAAAATTTAGCATTAAGAACATTGAAGAATGTAGTAGATATAAACCCAGTGGGTCTAATTTGCATTTGCATAGTACAGTCAAATCGTGTGTTGAACAAATTGGGCGCGTAGCCAGCCTACCTTAAATGATATCAGCCAGTCTATCATTGGTTCAGATATGGGATGTGGCCATGTCACTCATCTCGCTGGCTATTGGAATTTGCGGGCTTGAGTTTTTTTGTATTGCATATGAAATTCTTCATTTTTGTCCATAGTTTTTTGTTATCGAGAATGTCTCACTTGTGCATAATGCAATTATGATATTTACCATTAGTTTAAATAGTAAAATTTTAAAATTGTGCAAAATTTATGTGACTTATTTAGAGCATAACACTTGTGTATAATTTGATAATCCCCTATATACAGTATGTTTTACTATTTTAATGATATATTGATCTTTTTATCCATAGCTGTCTTCTTATCAAAATTTTTAATTCTAATTTTTCAATGTTATCTTTGCTGAAATTGTTGTGCAAATAATTTTTATTATTTAGAGTAGAAATTATATCCAACCAGTTGTTAGAACTTAAAAATATTTGATATATAATTTTAAACACAATTGACATAAAAATAACAGTTTTATTATTAAAAAAAAAACATTTTATATTTATGAAACAATTATAATTTAGTAATTTTAAATACTAATTAACTAATCATTATATTTGAAATTTCTTAAGTATTTACAAAATATATTAGCATTTAAAAATTCTAATGTAAATGATAATATTTGAAATACCTTTTAAATGTTCAATTATACTATATAAGTTTAAATCATTTTCAGAATCTCATTACTCTGTTGACTTGTTTTTATATTTAGTTCTCAAAATTCTGCCTGAAATTTTTTTGTGAATAACATTACTTGCAAGTTATTGAAATATTAAATTTTTATCTCAAGTCAATTCGTCTGATCAGCTGTTTATGACTATATTAGCAATTTTCCAGTAAAAAAGGCTGAAATTTAAATTATTTCTGTCTTTCTCCTTTTCCAGATTTACTGTTACCAAAAACTCAAAAAACTGGAGCTAGTCTGATGTGGGATTCTCACACTGTATTCATATGTTGCACAACAAAATTTCAAGCATAATGGTAATAGCTCTATAGTATACAAATATTAAATGAGGCATATTATGAAATGAGAGTTAACATGTCTTCTTTTATTATATTAATATTCTCAATAAGTATCTGTTTGGAATAATGACTGAGTTTTAATTTGTTTATAGGAAATTGCTTATTGTCATATTTGACCAAAAGAAATTAGTTGATGAAATAGTTTTTCTCATTGGGTTGCAATTTGAAAAAATTGTAGACCTATAATTTCCCATTATTGTGTCTGTCTTTCCTTAATCCCAAGAACAGTGTTAGATAGATGAAATCTGAGACCAGATATGAAAAGCTTACAGGCAGGAAGTCCCATTTAACTGTATATGAACTTACAATGTAAACCGGAAGTAACGTTATTTCAATTTAAATATTTTCCCCTGTAAAGAGTTAGATAGATGACAGTTTGACTGTTGTTAACAGGAAAAGTATGACGTGCAGAGGCAAGACACTACTAATTTGAGGTGGAGAGCATATATTTTAAATTAAATTAATTTTAAAAATATGATTAAAAATTGCAGCTGGCATTGTGATGATGTCATAATAAATAATTGCTTGTTATATCATATTTTAATAATATACATTGTGCATCAAATAGTGTTTATAGGAGGATTTATTTTGTAATTTCACATATATATTCTTTTTATTTAAAAATTGATTTTACAATAGTACAGTTTGATTTGTTGTTAAATTGCAAATGAATTTTATTTTGCTCTTCCTATCTAGGATATAGGTTCAATTCTTAAATCTGTTCTTTGTTGAAAACAGTTATGTTTTCAACAAAGGTTCAATTCTTAAATCTGTTCTTTGTTGAAAAATTGTTATGATTTGACTTTTCATTTACAATTGTCATTTGACTACACTATTTTATAGCAAGCATATACTAAAAACAGATCAGTCTTCATACTGTATATATTAGATTATTTCAAATCTGACATGTGAAGACTGAACTGTTTTGCATTCAACCCCTTTCCTTTCTAAGGTTTTTGAGGGGTTGATTATTAACCAATACAAAACTGTACAAAAATGTACAAAAAGCTCTATTTTAAGCATGTCTTCAATTAAATCTTAAAAATTACACTATTAATACTTATTGCTTCTCAATTACTTCAGGAAAACTAGTCTCATATAATAGAAACAAAAATGACTTTGTTTATTTCAAACCTTTAAGCTAAGTCAGACAATAGATTGAATTAAATTGGACAACATATTCATTATGTTGTTATATATCCTTTTTTATATTAATAATAATGTATTTTAAACTCAAAATACATTCATGGTGCTTCGATTATAGATTTTAGGATAGACCTCTACTATTATACTTTTATTTCTGTAATTTCTGTATCATTTGAGAGGTAAAATTCTATAAGAAGCTTCAATATCAAATTCTCTAGTTACAGCTCTAAAAAATGGTAGAAATTCATTTTTTTACAATATATTGATATAAATAATCTGGAAATTAATTATTTATTTTATCTTAATTTAAAATTTATTTTTACAGAAGGAGAAAAATTATTCTCATGAAGATAGTGATTCGGTAATTATGCAGTCAATAAAGATGGCTAAAATTATTTTCATTTTATTTTACCTAAAAATATTTTAAACTAAGATGTAAAAAATGCATTTGCTTAATTACCTTTAATCTGTAAAGCATAAATTTAAAAAATGCTAAAATATTAATTTTTATTATTTATATAGGATATAGATGATGAGGCACTAGCGAGGAAACTTCAAGAAGAAGAAGTCCAATCCAGGAGTCGAGCTGTGAAAAAAACTGTAATGATTAATATTTATTTTTTTACTTATGTGATCATTTCTTTGTAATTTTGTGTTTTTGTTTTTAATAGTCTAACAAAAAAGAAAGAAAGGAACCAAAAAAACCTAAACAGATTGTAAGAACTAAGAAAGGTATAAAACTTTATATTAAAAAATTTTTTAATTTGAACAAAATGTAAATATATTTTAATAAATATTCTTCAGAGACAACATATACAAAAAAGTGTATTTTATCATCTGAATTAGCTGCAGTTGTTGGAGCTAATGAGGTAATTATGAAATTTTAAAATTATTACTTAAAGTAACACTAAACTTTAATTTTTTCGTACCTTTGAAACAATCTTTTATTCTTGTTTTATTACAAATCCATTTTTACACTTAGAAATGAAAAATTTTACAGTTGTAATGGCACTGTTATTTAAATATATACATAAAATATGATGATTATTTGAAAATTAATTAATTTTATTTTTAGTGTTTTAATTTATTGATTATATTACATTTTATTATTTTTGTTGAATAAAAAAAATCATCAAATAAATAATTTTTCTTCTATCAGTATCCATTTTGGCAGAAGAAAATTAATTATATAAACACACCTGAATTCTTTGCTGAGCATAAATTATTTTATTTCTCTAACATTTTCAACCTACTTAATATAGGCCATCTTCAGGCTTCCAAAATGGAACACATCATTTTTCGAATATTTCATTTTAAATTTAAAAGATCTACAATAATTAAATTAATGAAAAAAATAAATAAATACAATAAATAAATAACAATAAAAATAACATAAATAAATAAATAAAAACATAATAAACAAGGCTAAGTATAACTATCATAAGCTTTAAGGGTTTTTAAGTTCCATACTTTTTTTCTATCATATACTTGTGGACCATTTTAATGACTTTCGCTTCATCCCATTTTACAATCGCTCCTTCTGTCTGCGCCATAATCACTAATATTGTGTTGTTGTGCCCTTTATCAACATTGTATTTGTGTTCTCATAGACATACCACCAGCTTTCTTGGGTGCTCTTTTATAGACCATTCTTGAGTTTTTATAAGTAACCAATTCATTCATCACTCTTCCTAATATCTATAGCTTACTAAAGAATGATAAAGACAGCATAAAAATGGAAGAGAAAGCTGAAGTTTATAAAATACCATTTGAAAATCAACAGTTAGAAGTAGCAAAGGATTATTTAGTTGTAACCAGAAGAAACCTGGTGGTATGTCTGCGAGAACACAAATACAATGTTGATAAAGGACACAACAACACAATATTAGCAATTATGGTGCAGACAGAAGGAGCAATTGTAAAATGGGTTGGGGCAAAAGTCATTAAAACAGTCCACTCTCCATCCATTGTGTTGGAGATGGAAATATATAAAAGTAAAATGAAAAACCGTTGCCTAAATGCCAATGTTGTTAATGCGCTTTGAACAGCGTGGAAGTATATGATAGAAAAAAGCATGAGACTTAAAACCCCTTAAAGCTTATAATAGTTATATTTAACCTTGTTTACTATGTTTTTATTTATTTATGTTATTTTTATTGTTATTTATTTATTGTATTTATTTCTTTTTTCATTAATTTAAAATACACAATTATTGTAAATCTTTTAAATTTAAAATAAAAGTATTCGAATAATGATGCGTTCCATTTTGGAAGAGTTTAATCTTAAGCCTGAAGATGGCCTATATTAAGTAGGTTGAAAACGTTAGAGAAATAAGATAATTTATGCTCGGCAAAGAATTCGGGTATGTTGACATAATTAGTTGTAGTTGCTGAGAAGAAGGTGGATATAAGNACTTCCCCCGTGGGAGAAAATTTTTCGAAAAATTTTTTCTTAGTGTACATTCTCTTGACGTACCCTATTAAAACGCAATCAAAAACGCAAAAACCTCACATCTAAAATAGTATAATAGAAGCCAAGTTTTTCACAGTAAGCCTTAATCCTGTCCCTCTCCCCTGCGGGGGAATATTGAAAAATCCCTTCTTAGTGTACATTCTGTTGACGTACTCTATTAAAATGCAATCAAAAACGCAAAAAACCACATCTAAAATAGTATAAGTAGAAGCAGAGTTCTTTATGGTAAGCCTTCCCTGTAAGGCTTATCGTAAAGAACTGTCCATCTCCCATGTTTAACGGAATAATATACAGCTTATGTCCCCCCTGAAGTTCCATTCTAAATATTGGTGAAAGAATTTTTGAAATCGGATGAGTAGTTTCGGAGATTACCAAATTACTCGGAGCATACAAACTAACATACATACAAACATTACCTCTTTATAATATTAGTATAGATGATGCGTTCCATTTTGGAAGAGTTTAATCTTAAGCCTGAAGATGGCCTATATTAAGTAGGTTGAAAACGTTAGAGAAATAAGATAATTTATGCTCGGCAAAGAATTCGGGTATGTTGACATAATTAGTTGTAGTTGCTGAGAAGAAGGTGGATATAAGTCTCAAGATTTTGTCATAAATATAAAGAAATAAAAATTTTGTTTAACAACATAAAGTCAAATCTACAGAGACTTCTTTTTCACTAAACAGAAAAGATGTCACAATTTTTACTTTCCAGCTGTTATATATAACAGGAAGAAAGTTTGGCAATCAGTCAAAAAATTATCACCCAAGATTTTTACATTTTTGGACTCAGGACACCATCAAGAAATGCAAAAAAATTGGTGTTTTTTCTGTATGTATGGATATTTATGTGCTTGAGGGGGGCACAATTTCGTTCACTCTCTTTGAAGCTTAATAACTCCCATGCTTTTTGTCAAAAATTTCTGAAATTCTGCAAGGAGATAAATGAGATAAAGGAGGTTGTGCAGATCTCCAGTAGGATCAACATAACAATTTTACTTGTTGTTAGCATTTACAATTTTTTATAAAACTCATCCCTACCCTCAAAATTAAACTTTTTGCCATTTTATAATAGTTAAATTTATTAAAAAGCTTATGATAACAGATGGCATCACCAAATGTTGCCAGAAAAGTTAAAAAATCTAGCAAAAAGTTGCTTAATCTCTTGTTTTATAAGCTTTAAATGTGAGGAATAATAATAGTAATAATAATGCTAAAGTTATGGTAAAATAATTATGTTATACACAAAAATATATAAGAATAATGCACATTGTTTTCTAAGGAAAAGAGAAAAATGAGCACTTGCCAATGACGAAAAGCTGACACCGGTACTCAGGGTCCTGGTGTAGATTATGGTGGGCTTTGTTGCCACCATGGTTACGACAGGTTGCATTGTTACAGCCTGTTCATGGCTATGGTAAGTGGGAAGATATTTGTACCAGAATTGTCCCGATGTTGCTCTCATTGTTTTGCAGGATGGCAAAATGAGAGCAAGGGAATGCATGCATAGCGTGTGTCACACATTTGTCAAAATTTGATTTTGCAATGTTTGCATTTCAAAATTCCCAACAAGCAACGCATGTGCAAATCTCGCACTAGTGCCTGTTTGTAGAAACAGTGTCGCCATTTTGTATTTTATTTTGACTTGGTTCTTGTTCCCCTGACTACCTACAAGTCTGTTTTTTTTTTATATATATGCGCATGATTTTGGCACCAAATACTCTGTGCCAGATTGCAACTCCTGACATGTACTCCTTCATACCTCTAAGGTGTCCAGCCATTGACAGCAGTGCGATTTTATAGACAAGGAGTAGTCTTGTCAATAAGTAACATTATCCTGTTAGTACATAAAATGCTTAAAACTTCTCTTCTTGATTTCCAAACATTAATACAATTGGAAAAAAGAAAATGGTTGCTTTGTATGCTTTATTTGAAATACAGTACATTTATGATATATCAGAGCACTTTTGATTGATTACTTTTAGTGATAAAAGCATATTCAGGCATTCTGTTATAAAAAGTGTTAGTATGACATTGTAATTCACTGTCACCCTACTACTGTTTAATCCAAATTCCTTAAATAAAGGCTTATTTATAAACTTGCTCAAAAAGCATATAGACTTTTGATTATCATTGCCTATATTTAACTGATTAACTGATTTTTGTTATTATTACTGGTAAAACAGCATGTTCATAACATCCATCTTGGTACCATAATAGGCAATAATTAATATTTTAAAATTCCAAATCAGAAATTACAAGGGTTCAAATCTGGTGATCATGATTACCACGTACTGATGCCCAAAAATTACAGATTATCCTTATATATTTTATAAAACTAATTATTTCAAAATATTAATTATTTTGTGAGTATTAATATCATCTCTAAACCTGATTTATTAGTTAAATGAAACAAAATGCCAAATTATTGTGCTGTTATAAGTTAGAAGATTAGAAACTAACTCATTTGTCTAGAGGTGGATGGTCTACTTCTAGACAAATTAATAGAGTCTAATCTTTAACTTAACCATATAATAGCTCAATAATTTGGCACTTTGTTTGGTTTATTTGTGAGTAATTGTTTATATACATTATGAAACAATAAAATAAAAAAAATGGAAAATATTTATATTAACTTTTGTTCTTTCTTGTTTATAAAATATTTTATTTGATTAAAAAAGACTAATATATATTAAATTTATTTTTCTCAGATGGCCAGGCATGATGTTGTAAAAAAGATGTGGGAAATAGCTCGTGAAAGAAATTTATTTGTAAGTTAGAATATTTAAATATTTTAATNCTTGGTACCATAATAGGCAATAATTAATATTTTAAAATTCCAAATCAGAAATTACAAGGGTTCAAATCTGGTGATCATGATTACCACGTACTGATGCCCAAAAATTACAGATTATCCTTATATATTTTATAAAACTAATTATTTCAAAATATTAATTATTTTGTGAGTATTAATATCATCTCTAAACCTGATTTATTAGTTAAATGAAACAAAATGCCAAATTATTGTGCTGTTATAAGTTAGAAGATTAGAAACTAACTCATTTGTCTATAGGTGGATGGTCTACTTCTAGACAAATTAATAGAGTCTAATCTTTAACTTAACCATATAATAGCTCAATAATTTGGCACTTTGTTTGGTTTATTTGTGAGTAATTGTTTATATACATTATGAAACAATAAAATAAAAAAAATGGAAAATATTTATATTAACTTTTGTTCTTTCTTGTTTATAAAATATTTTATTTGATTAAAAAAGACTAATATATATTAAATTTATTTTTCTCAGATGGCCAGGCATGATGTTGTAAAAAAGATGTGGGAAATAGCTCGTGAAAGAAATTTATTTGTAAGTTAGAATATTTAAATATTTTACTTTTATGCATTTATATGTATATTTTCTGTGTATATGTGTGTGTACATACACAATAGGATCTGCATAATGTATTCATAGATATTATCAGTTGACTAATGTCAGAATTAGCTTAAACATATAAATTAAAATACACTTTAGAATTTTGCTTATTGTAGTGACTTTTGGTTACTGTTATGATTATCTTCAGTACTCGGGCATTTTTAAGCTCTGTTTCCACTGTCAATCTTTAAACTGTCTAAATCAGTGGTTCCCAATTAGTGGTACGCGTACCCCCAGGGATATGCGTACCACTAATTGGAAATTATAGAGTGGAAATTGCATGAAGGGGTACGCGTGGCAATTTAAAATCGGTGGATTTAAAATTTAAATGCATGAGATGAAGAAAATAAAAAAAATAATGGGTGGACCGTCAAAAATTTGGAAATTTATAACATGATGTTGAATGCACAAATTCATTTATTTATAACTAAAAATATTTACTACCATTTTGCACAACATACCTCTGCGAGAGAGGATTTTCGGCCATGACAAACATGAAAACTAAACATCGTCACCGACTTCGACTCGAAGATGACTCGAGACTGAAGCTGACCAAAAAGCAACCAGATTTTACAAAGTTGTGCAAAGAAAATCGTGCACATTTGTCACATTAAAATTAAATAACCTTATGTTATTTTCATTATTATTAGAATTGTATTTTAAAGGTAATAAATGTAAAAAAAAACTTATTCTATTTATCACTAGCTGTCTACCCACAGCTTCGCCCGCATTATATCGAATTTTCTCGTGGGAGTAAGATATTTTCTCGCAGTAAAATGTAGCCTATGTCCATCTCCAACATGTAAGCTATCTCTGTGCCCAATTTTATTTAAAACTGTTCAGCGGTTTAGACGTGAAAAGGTAACAGACAGACAGAATTACCTTCGAATTTATAATATTAGTATGAATTAATATGAATTTCTGATATAAGGGGTACGCGAGTTTGAGCTGTTTCTTGAAGTGGTACGCAGGAAAAACTAATTGGGAACAACTAGTCTAAATGTATGGCTGATAACACACACAAAATCCAATAGTTTAAATATTGTCAACATTTCTTGTTTCAATTATACACTAGATACTACTAAACACAAGTTTAAAAAAATGCAGCAAACAATATTGAATGAATTATTATTAATTAATTAAGAATAATAATTATATTAACAAGTCTTCACATATGAACTTTTTGTTTTAATATGTCCTTTTAATGTCAGATTCAATAAAACAAGAATTTCCACTAATTATAGTCTTATTTACTTACCCCACTTAATGTTAACAACTGAGGATATTTGTTTGAATTAAAATATAACTCAATTTATAAGATCTGCTAATTGCTTAATATTGTTAATAGGTTATTACTGTATCAGTACAGAATATTTCAAAATGATTAAAATAAATGGATTCTGTGTGTATGTGTAAAATTATATATATTAATATATATAATTTTTTAAATGATAATTTATTTTTAGGATCCAAAAAATAAACAGTTTGCAATCTGTGATGATCAATTACAAAAAGTATTTGGTAAGTTTAAAACATTATATAAATAAATTAATATAATTATGTATAATATAATTTATGTATGATTTTATGTTTTTTTGTTAAAGGTACGAAAAGAGTTCGAATGTTTGGAATGATGAAATACCTGAAAAATCACATAAAAGATGTCAAGTGACATTCCTTAAAATTAAGGTTATAAAAGATTTTTTTAGCTTCATCAGACAATTTGCAGCGATATGTTTAATGTGACAAATTTGAATTTGGATATTATAATTTGCTTGTCAATATTAAATGTTGTTGTTGTTACTAATAGTAAATTACTGGTACTTTATAAAATTTTGTAATAACATTGTATAGAAATAATGTTAAAAAGAAATAAAATATTTAATTAGAAAAATCAGATATATTATTTCAAAACAAGAAAGAAATTATTTGTGTTGTATATGGCAACTTTTAAATTATTCTTAATATTTAAGAAAATCCAGTTTTTTATTGATATTTTTAAATTGTGAGCAGCTAAGATAATTTGAATTATTGATTTTGATATGTTATTTTTTTTAAAGTAAATATGTTATAATGATAAAATAGTGAGAGAGATCACTTGAATTGAAATAATGTTTTATATGAAGTAGTTTTTTATTTTAATCAAGTAGAAAGAATGTTTAAAAGTGTAATATATAAAACAAATTGAAAAATATAACACTTCATGTTACCGAAATTTGTTATTCTTATACAATTACATATTTTATTTTGAAATTCTATAAAGCTAATTTAAATTCTTTCAAAATAGATTATTTTAGTGCCTAAAATAGTGAGAGAGATCACTTGAATTGAAATAATGTTTTATATGAAGTAGTTTTTTATTTTAATCAAGTAGAAAGAATGTTTAAAAGTGTAATATATAAAACAAATTGAAAAATATAACACTTCATGTTACCGAAATTTGTTATTCTTATACAATTACATATTTTATTTTGAAATTCTATAAAGCTAATTTAAATTCTTTCAAAATAGATTATTTTAGTGCCTAAGAATATATTTTATAATGTAGATAGATATATATTGTATAAATATATATATATATTTTTGTGAATTTATGCCAAGAATAAAAAGTGTTTATTGATAAAGATTGTTTAAGATATAATAATTTCAGAAAATGAAATACTTTTGTTACTTTTGGTACATGATTTAGATTATATAAAATGTATAATATTTTTATTAAAAAAATGTTTTATAGATAAAAAATTTCAAATTTTATTTTATTCAGTAAATTAAACGATTTAATACACGGACTGTTTAATTCTTTTTTTATTTATAAACTAGATTCATATAGTTTACGTGAATTATTGTTGAAGAAAATGTTTAAAATTTGTTTTCATTTCTCTTAAATAGAATTATCATATAAACTATTTGAAAATAGTAAATGCAATTATTTGAAATTATATAATTGTGTAACCAGCATTTTATATTTATTTCAAATGTATAATAAANTAAAGTTTCAAATTTTTATAAATAAGTATTTTTATAAATTGTATAAACTCTCACAATTAATGTTTTTTTTTTCGTCTAATTCTTTTGAGAAAGCAGTCTGATAGTATAATATTGCAAGATATCTAAATGCTTTTATTGAATGTCAACAATAAAGTATTATTTATATACAATTGTTTTTTTAATTTTTTTAATAAGAAAAATATTTATTGTTCATATTAAGAATTGAAATTTATAGAGTAATATATTAGATATGGATTATATAAGTGAGGGACAAGGGGCTCAAAGCATTTGGACCTAAAACATAAATTATGCATATACGTTAGAAAGTACAGCATGCATATTTTATACATTGTTAGTATGTAAAAATAAGGTTATATCTGTAACACCAGATGGCACCATGTATTTGGAAAAAGTCATTTTTTATGCCTTAATATTTGCATTAATAATATAATTGAAAACTCTCATTAACAATAATAATAATAATCAAATTATGCACTAAGCCAACATTTTTAACTTTTTTGAGTTATTGGCAAAAAAATTTTTGGTGGCAAATCAAAGTAACTGGTATGTCAAAGGTGCACCTTAAATGTATAAGTTGTGGATTGATTTTTTTAAAATATACAAGCTATACAAGAAGTAATAAGAAGTAAAACAACAATTAGAATTTTTAATTATATTTTTAAATTGTTGACCCCCTATGAGAAGTTTGCAGTACATTGGTGCTGCAAACTTCTCAGAGGTGCCACAATTTCTTATACCATTGCAGATGATGTGTTATAAAACTAAATTTTTGATGCATTTTTAATGTCTTAACAAATGTTTTTCTGCTTTAAGTTATTTAGTTTAATCTGAAAAATATTTTTACAAGATGTATTTCATTTATAGAATACATATTTCAACTTTTTGCTTTTGAAATTTTTGTTTCCACTATGACAAAAATACATTTAGGGCATTGAAGGGTTAAAGTTGTTTAACCTATTCTCTCGATGCCTTCCTGTCAAGCTTAAAGCTGAATGGTGGATGTCAGGCTTCACAGATGCTGACTTTCACATTGTTTTGCCTTGTTTTACGACAATAGGAAGAAGCCAACTTGATTTCTTAGCAGACTACGCGTTCTTCCGCTGGTAAATGTATTGTCCTTCACCTCTCGTTGTTTTTTTTTTAATTGTGAATAATGACATTTCTCATTTTTGACATTAACCTTCTAAATAAGAATTTGTAAGAACCATTCAATATAATAAATATAAAATTTATTTATGTAAATTTTATAATCAAAATTATTTTTATTTTCAGGATTCATTTTAGATGTTTATTAGATAAATGCATTTAAATTTGATCATTTAAATTCAATTTAAAGTTGCCTTGTTTTAAGTTGATTCAGCAGGAGAACAAAGTTTTCAAAAGTTTAGTTTAAATTCTAAAATACAATTTACTTGTTAGAATTTCAATAAAGTTTTATCGTTGACATGCAAATACTATAATCTTTTTAGTAAAAATAATTAAATATAGAGTTGTTTTTAAATATAGATAAACTTTCTTGTTGATTAAAAAGTCCGTTATGGTCTATAATAAAATTAAGAAAACTTTATTTTTTAAGTTTTATACGAAATTTCTACAGAAAAACCAAATCGCTAATGAATTTCTTCTTATTTATTTAAAATTTATTATAATTTTAAATACATAAAAATGATAAATTACTATAAATTCATGAATAATCACAGAAAAATTTGAACCAATCGATGACAGATTTATTTGTTCACACACTTTACTAATAAGTGGCCCTAATTTTTTCTTGTAATTTTAAGAAAAAAAAAAATTTAAATAAGGCTCATTTACTTCCATTTTTATTCTGTTCTAAGAGATTAAAGCTGATTTTAGAGAGGAAAAACAATTTTGTTTTTAGTAGCTTAAAAAAATTAATATATATTTTTTTTTACAAAAGGATTTTACTATTGAGCAGCTAGAAAGTCTCCAATGCCTTAAATTCGCTGCTGATATTAACCTATTGTAAAAATTAAGATAATGCATATTATGCTAAATACTTGCTTAAAAAGTTTAGAGAATTATTTAAAAATAATACGAAGTTTTTACAGAAAAATAGGCCTGTATTAAATTTATTCTAAAATTTGGACGAATGGAAATTTATCTTGTGTAATAATTAAAAATAAGGAAACTTTCTAAATTTGGAAATATAAGGATGTTTTTGTATATATAATTTTTTTTTTTTTTTTAAATCGGAAAAATGTAATTTGATCTAAGAAATAAAGTCGCTTCTTGTTCGAAGTTTTACTTTAGATAATTGCGTAGAATTAAATTTTGTTTTTGGTTTTCCCATGTGATTCGTTCTTAAAGCGAAACTGTCACAAACTTAATAGTAATCAGAACACATCAAGTAAATTTGCCAGGGAACACCAGACAGAAAGCATCGACTCAATTGTAAATCTTTTCAAGCGTAACAAGCAAAGTTAAAGTTATTAATTTCCTTTAGTAATATTCTCGATTGAAAATTATTTAAAGTTTCAAATTTTTATAAATAAGTATTTTTATAAATTGTATAAACTCTCACAATTAATGTTTTTTTTTTCGTCTAATTCTTTTGAGAAAGCATTGACCCGAAATGAAGCAATTTAAAGATGCTTTTTAGCATGAATATGTTTGTAATTTTTTTTCCCCTAAATTTGCATAGAATTGTAATTCCTTCAGGCTGTAGATGTCCTCGTTGCATTATGGAAAGACTGTAGATGTCCTCGAGTGGATTTTATTTTATTTTTTTATTTTCTTTTCTTTAAAGTATAATTTTGTAGCATTATAATGTAGAATAATTTCTTTGCTGACAAGCAAAATAGAGTCATTTTGTGCATGGTCTAGCAACGAATATATAGGTCTATTACTATAGTACTATGGCCACGTTGCATAAACTGTAATATTATCCACGCTTCCGTTCTCTTGTGAAACAAACCCTCACTTCCTTCGTGGTTATAAGGAAGGAAAACTCTCCATTAATTAATTTTCTTTTGAATGATGACATAATTCGTGTTCGGTTTTAATCAAACATGCATTAGTTACTGATTTGAAATTCTGATGAAATCTATTATCGAATCCATAAATCATAGCCTGTATAATTCAAATCATCCTTTTTAGCATACATAATTTCAAAAACAGAATCGATTTTCAAATGCGATCTTAGAGAAATATGATATATAAATTAATATTTAAATATTTCTATAATACAGAATTAAATTGAAGTTTTAAAACTTTTTAATACACGAATTAAATTATATATAATTATTTTTAAAACGTTCAATAATGATTACCCCAGTCAATTTAGAAATTATTGAATTTAAATTTTGCATTTTATTAGTTTATATATAACTTAAATAGAATGCTTTATATCTTTATAATTAATCTTGATGGATATTATAACGTTCAATTATTATAAATGTAATACAGTATGAGCGCATCAATCATCCAATTTGCAGATCAGTCAATGATAAAGAAATAAAATACATGTTAGCTAAATTACACTAACTTAAAATGCAATATTATGTTTGCAAAAAAAAAAAAAAATATTTT